GTGGTATGTGTCATTAATTGAGAGAATTATCTGCACCTGCGTATTAGTCAGTTTTGGCCATCCTATCACATCAATTAGTTTTTAATGATAGTATAACTGAATATGCACTAAATTATCCCCTTTTATATAGTTACAGAATCAAAATCACAATACTAGCCTCAAAAATTTACCATCATCGACAGACATAAACGATAAAAATTCGTGTTTAACGACAACAACTGAAAAGCTTGAACAGAATGATACTCCCATGAATCATTCAGTTAGTTGTGCTTATAATGCCTCAATGCATCCATTACTCATTCCATCTCTGGGAGTTCCACTACAAAAAATCTCAGCCATGTTAGCCGCAATGCATCCAACATCTACACTACTATCTTCTTCTTCGGCCGAAGCTACCTCGTCTACAATAACTCTCAGCAATCCAAAAGCAATCACCCCAACATCATCAACACAAATTGTTCCTACGCCGCCAACAGTAAACGTTTCAGCTTTACAAGCGGTCCGTATTCATTTCTTGGACATCGATAATCTTCTGGTACACATTTATCCTTACCTTTTAGGTTGCGACTGCTGCTGCAGCGGTCCTTGCTAGTCACCAAAGACCACAGACAGCAACAATGATTGCTACTGCTACATCTCAAAACAACAATAGTAATTCCCGTCGACCAAGTGGTTCCTCATTTGGATGGGGAAATAGAGAACGAAAAATGGAAGAAAACTGGCGTACGCAAGCGAGACCAGAATCATCGTAATTCTATTTTTAATTCTGATTTATTTTATTTTTATATAGATTAATTCTATTTTCCACGTAATTTTTTGCTGCAAATCCAGATTATAAACGATATTTATCACGTTACGAGAAGGAGAAACTTAACATCGATTTCGGTGTCTTCTAGTGATATTTAATGAATTTATGTATATATATATATATAGATAAGCTGCTTCTCGTCGATCAATAAGCCTTTTCATTAAACAATATCAGTAATATATTTAAAATTTTTAGTAACAACACAGTTTTAACGGCATTTCGACTAAACTGAAATTTTATAAACGAATAATAATTATGAGCACTTATAATAGTACAGATTAATAAGAAGGCTAATACAGAGGTTAAGAAAATATTTCTACAACATCTCTGAATGAACCAAACTAAACGGAAAGAAGAGTAAAAAGGAAATGAGAAGGCATTAAGCACAAATCTGGTATAAATTAATGAGAAAAAAACAGACATAACGAGACAATATCGTTAACCTTTTTCCAACAATATTGAAGATGGTGTACAGCAGAGATCGTCCCGGGCCACGTTTTTTACGGCCCGATCCGTATCCAGGCTCAAGAATCTTGGTCCGGTTCGGTCCGGCCCGGACTGAACGTATACATTTTTCGGAGCGGCCTGTACGGGCAAATGCATTCTACATTCTACGGACCAGGATAGCCCGTAGAATTTTCACATTTCATTTTCAAGAGCAAATAGTGTCTTTTCTCACATTTAATATGAGTGTTGGAGATGGAATCGTTTATTATTGTATGAAAATGAATATGCCTACGATATTCATCGTGTTGTTCCATTAGAATAATAACAGGAATTTCCATCCTCGTAGAGACTTCAAGCAAATGTCTCCTCTTTAGCATTTTCACCATCTAAAAATATTCGAATTTTCACATAAAAATTCAGTTTATCGGATACATCAAATCGCTCTATTTTCTATTTCTATTATTTTTGATTTTTAATCTTATTCATTGGCCGGACCAATACGCGTTCAGACTGTGAACGCATATTTTGCGATGCAAAAACTGTTTCATTTCAATTTTATTCATCGTATTCAGAAACGCAAATCTTCAATAGATGAGAGCATTTAGAGTACTTCGGGGTAATTAGAGACACTCTTTGAAATTTTCATCCTTTTTGTGCTATTTCTTGGTCGTTTTTGATTGAAAAAACTTGCTAGTGAACACGGTGGTAGACCGAACATTTTTCTACACGCTCATATAAAAATCTACTGAAAATCTCCGGCCAATTTTGAGCCTGATCCAAAATGCGAAGAGCTCCATCAAGGTGTCTCTAATTACCCCGTACGGGGTAATTGGACACACTTCACTTGTACGCTTGGGGTAAATAGAGACACTCCATTCAAATACATGGATTATCCGACGACGCAATTCTTTTTGATTAATTAGCATACTCTATAGTTGGTTTTTCGTTCTTAACACTAAACTTGTTTTAATTACTGTTGTATATGAATAATACTAAGGTGCAATATCATTGCTTTGTGATCTGCTGACAATTTTGCTATTGATATCATATTGTATGTGTCCTACAGAAGAGACATATATCGGATAATTTGGTGTTATCTTGCGTAGTTTTCGTGATTTTCAGATGATTGTTTGGAGATGCTTGTGTATGCCATAGACAGAAGATTTTATCAAAGTTTTTAGTCTCAAGGTGTCATAAGTAATTTTAATTTAGCGCATAAAATATACTCAAATTAATATTCTATATAGTGTGAAGCCAATATGATAGCTTATCCACTGGAATAATGAGCTAATTTTCACATATGTGATAGATTTCAGCAGTCTGAAGAGCTTTGTCACTTGGTCTAATACCAACTTCGGCTTCTGAGAGACGGTAGACGTTTGTCTCTCAGCATCCCGTGTATTTCAGTGGAGTGTCTCTATTTACCCGAAGAAATTACACGAGTGTCTCTAATGACCCCAAAGCATAAAAAAAAAACATTCCGGTGCTGTTGATTATATGCTAATTAGCTTAATGAGTTTAAATGATAATGAGCTCAAAACTATATGGTAGAGAGAGGAAGGCCCAGGCTATAAAATGAGGTATTTTTGAACTAATTATCTCCTAAGCTTAATTCACCAGCAATTGTACATTAAAACTCCATGTATTTGAATGGAGTGTCTCTATTTACCCCAAGCGTACAAGTGAAGTGTGTCCAATTACCCCGTACGGGGTAATTAGAGACACCTTGATGGAGCTCTTCGCATTTTGGATCAGGCTCAAAATTGGCCGGAGATTTTCAGTAGATTTTTACATGAGCGTGTAGAAAAATGTTCGGTCAACCACCGTGTTCACTAGCAAGTTTTTTCAATCAAAAACGACCAAGAAATAGCACAAAAAGGATGAAAATTTCAAAGAGTGTCTCTAATTACTCCGAAGCACTCTAACTATTTATAAAAAGTTGTCCGACTTCGACGAGTTCATATCACAGATGTCGAGCCACTATTTGTCTGTTCTGTGCTAGATTTTTGTTGTACTTGTATCTTTCGCTTAATTTTAGAACAGAACATGAGCTTGCAGTTTTATATCTCGATTCCCCATCATCCAGAGTTGCTCGTCAATGCTATTGATATCAGATAAATTAGACTGGAAGTTCTCGTTTCTCCTCTTCAATCTATTTTTGTCCAGTTCGAATTTGTCAAAATAGAAAAATGCATCTTCTGAAATTTTGATATCAGAATTGTTTACCAATGCTATTGATATCAGTCCCACCTTCTAGAAGCCCAAAGTGTTCTTCTTTCAACGTTGTATAAAACAAGCGATTCATTCTGTTATGTAGTCCTATTTCTTGTCGACTGGAAGCTCTCGTTTCCCCCCTTCAATCTGTTTTTGTCCAGTTCGAATTTGTCAAAATCGGATATAAGTTGTTTGAGACAATTTGTCCCAAAGATACCGATCATAAAATGAAAGTATATGTTTATCCTTATCTGATTAATATTAACGTTCTATTTTTCATATTTAGGAGAACAAATGATTCATCAGGCACATTTTGGCACACCAAAAATGTCCAGTTCGAATTTGTCAAAATAGAAAAATGCACCTTCTGAAATTTTGATATCAGAATTGTTTACCAATGCTATTGATATCAGTCCCACCTTCTAGAAGCCCAAAGTGTTCTTCTTTCAACGTTGTATAAAACAAGCGATTCATTCTGTTATGTAGTCCTATTTCTTGTCGACTGGAAGCTCTCGTTTCCCCCCTTCAATCTGTTTTTGTCCAGTTCGAATTTGTCAAAATCGGATATAAGTTGTTTGAGACAATTTGTCCCAAAGATACCGATCATAAAATGAAAGTATATGTTTATCCTTATCTGATTAATATTAACGTTCTATTTTTCATATTTAGGAGAACAAATGATTCATCAGGCACATTTTGGCACACCAAAAATGTCCAGTTCGAATTTGTCAAAATAGAAAAATGCACCTTCTGAAATTTTATTTGAGATAATAATAAGATATAACTGTGCTTCGCGTTTCGAAACGTCGATGAACAAGCGAAGATGTGTTAGAAGTTGTCTGAAAAATGATCTTTTACTTTCTCTTCTTCTGACAGTTTTCTTCAGAATTCACAAATCTAACTGGAATTTCTTAAAAGATAATTAAAAGTTTCTTTTAACAATACTTCTTCGCTTCCAAAGCTGCTTTTCAAGAATTATCCTAAGGATTTCTAGTATTTTCAGACGAAAAGAGGATGAATCGAGATATGAAGTAGTAATAATCATATTGAAAATTTATAAATGATACGTTCTCTCTAAATATCACTGTTTATGACACCCACATTGTTTGATATTCAGGATTTTTTTGTAATTATTATTATCATATAATGCAAAAGAAAAGAAGAATGAATATAATCAGCAACAACAACGAAAGAGAATAAATCACCATAGAACAACAAAATACACACACACTCACACTCATACACGCAATCAAAACGAAAGCAAAGCAAAAGAATAATAAAAAATCTTTATTTCTAGACTATTTCTTTTAGTTTCAACAATAATCCTACAAATCTGAGCACAGCAACATTGAATAAGAATAAAAAAACAAGAAAATTGGCAAGAAAACTAAATGAGAGAAAAAAAACATTCGCGGTGTTCTCTCTTAAATGCATCATTTCAAAAGCTCTTTTCTTCTTCTCAAAATCTCACCCAAAATACAATCGAGAATATGTTCTGACGATATTTTTTGCTTGAAAATACCGGAAAAAAAAGATGTATGTAAGACGAAGGTAGAGATCGACCAGCAAAAAAAAAAAACATTTATTATATATTGACTAGTATTTTCTATTGTGTATCAATTTTTAAGAAGAAGAAAAAGCAGCTGAGTTTTGTTAGTTTATAGTTCAAAGTTGTGATCCTTTTTTTAAAAGTAATCGAACTGACGAAAAAAAAAAACAATGAAACAAAGTTTTACTTGAGAAGAGAAGAGATAAGAAAAAAACATTCATTATAATAAAAACAGAACATACATACACGAGAATTATGAGAACAAAGAATTAGAAGAAACGGGAAGAGAATACGACTACATTCCCTGAAATAAAAACTTGTATACTGGCAAAAAAAATACATCATGTACATATATACGCATACACACGCACACATATACACCCAAAAACAAAAACAAAAACAAAAAAAATGTTTATCATTCTACAAAAATTGGCTGAGTTAGTGAGAATATATTTTGATAGTTTGTGATAAGATATAAGAAAGGCAATTTTTGTTCATTCTCAAATTATTTTCTCTTCATTGAAAAAAATCCACCTGATTTCTTTTTGCCACTTGTTGATGTTGTCGTTCCCGTAGTTGTCGACGAGGATATTGGCTGAGATTCTGTGGGTAATGTTCGTGATTTTTGTTCTATAGCTGTTGGTGGTGATTGAGTGGATGTTATTTCTACGCCCGATGTACTTGATGTCATTATTGTTGGAGGTTGATGACGAGGTGAAGACGAAGATGTAACAGCAATTAATGGAATTTGAGCGATTATGTGGGAAGTGGATGTGGAAGGTATACACGTATTGATAGCTTGAATCCACTCATTCATTTCTAAATCGTCTTTAGCATGAAACAAATATTCATTACCACCCGCTAAACGTACACGAAATACATTCGTTTTTTTACGATAATCTGTTGCTGGTAAAACATTTGTCAAATTGTCAAATAGTAAATCATCACTGTATGTGCGAGACGTTTTATAATGTTTTTGATCTTTATAAAATTGTAAACGAGAGCCTAAAGTGAGAAAAAAAAAACAATAAGTTAATAATGATCAAAAAATTTTAGTGAGCGTCAGATACATGGACTGATTGATATGTCTCCTATAGTAGCTGTTTTTCAATACAGCAATATTGAATTGTTTAGTAAAAATCTTTATATACCTGTCAATACACAATATAATTTTTCCCACGCTCGATGTTGTGCTTTTCTTTCATGTGCTTCCCATTCATGTTTTCTCGTTAATAAACCTTCTTTAACAACTTGTTGTCTTGAAATTGACTCTGATCGTCTTTGTTGTTGTTTTAAACCTGAATCAATTTCTTGTGATGGACGTTTTTTACCTGATGGTAATGTTGATGGACGTCCATCTGTTACAGTTGTTGTTGTAGTATGATCATGATAGTCACCACTAAGAGTTGGTTTCAATGGTCTTTCGGCATCTCGTTCATCCCATGTTTTGAATTCGTCTAAATAATAAAAAAATAGTCATTTCACTTAGTAAAATCAAGCAAAAAATGAAAGATTATAAATTTTTTTCATATTTTTGTTCGTTTTTATTACCTAGATACATGTGTAATTTTGTTTGTCTTGGTTCCGGTGGTGGT